GATATAGATAATGACCTATATGTTATCTTTGTCTTGTTTTAAAGAAAATAGGTCTTTGTTTGAAAGAGAGATTGATTTTTTTTCAGCAGCTTCTACTTTTGAAGAAAAAAGAATTTTGATTTTGAGATATATTAAAGTGTATGAAGAACTTTTGAAAATAAAATTGTCTCTTTCGTACAAAGCTATAAGCACTCTTTTAAATTTCATTATTGCTAAAAAAGAGTCTGTATCTCCTGCTTTAATACTTAATTGTCATATTGGAGCTTATATTCTGAAAAATTTTGAACTTTATAGTTTGGTAACAGATAAAAATGCTATGAGTAGATTTATTGAACATTATTGCTTCTCCATTGATATAGCTTGGAATTTGGTTAATATCAAAATATCAAGTGTTGTTAGTGAAACTGTGTCTGTAACAAGCTCACCAGATCTAGCTATAATCAGTCCTGCAGAGTTGCAAAATAAAAATGAACAAGAATTTTTTATTAATAAAAAAAAAAATTCAACATGGGACTTTATAGATAAAGAGTTTTGTTCAAATTATAAGATTAAATATGATGGTGATAAAATTGGGTTTGCAGTTCTTAATAAAGCAATGAATAATCAATCATTCCTTCATATGAAAAGCTACCCACTTGATTTTTTGAAAGAAGTTATGAAAATGTTAACAGAATTTGGTGATATTTTTCTATTTTCTCTACCAACAGATCAAATTGATTCAATTTTGAAAGAAGATTTTAAAAATCTTGTTTTATTTTCAGAATATGTTATGAAATTGTCTGTCTTTGTAGACTATGAAAAAGCATTACCATTACAACCAAATTTAGTATCTCAAATCAACCACAGATTGTTATCAATAATGCCTAAAAAACTTTTATTAATTTCTCAAAATGAATACATGCATAAAGAAACTCTTTGTAAGATATTAATAAAAAACCAAATTTCAAAGGATTCATTTGGTAAGTATAGTAACAAAAATGTTGTAAAAGATTATAATGAATTAGGATTGATAACTCCAGTAGAAAAAATTTTGTACAGTTTTTATTTTTTAGTTGATGTAGCATTATCAAATTGTTTTGCAACAAATCTTTATGTTTTTGATAATGGGTGTTATGGTGTTAAAATGCAAATTGTTGTTGCTTTGATACATTAACAAAAGATTTTGATGAGGAATCAGAGGTTGATAAAAAAGTTTTGTTTTTTGGTAATTATTCATTCAGATTTATCACTTATATGCAAAAGAGAAAATTTTTGATGTCTTATTACTGTTGTTTAAATCCTTTTTATGAATCCAAAGAAGAAGATAGTAGTTTGATGAACAGAAACAGTTCAGAAATGTTCTTACAACAACCTTGCTACAAATCAAGACAGGCTTATAATATTAAAGAAACACCAATTGCAAACTTTTTAACTACTAGATTCACAAAAGATAGTTATTTTTCAATTGATGATACAAAAATGATTCCCTTGGAGCTGGTTATAGGTTTTGAAAATTGTTATCAAAAATTTCAAAAATATCCATATAAAGGTTCAAATGTTTTACAAAACGGTCATTATTGGGATGGTCATTTTTATTTGATTTTGAAAGAGAGTTATCTTCAATATAAAGAAAATTTGAAAATTTTAATGAAACAATATGGGAAAGCTATTGATTTTTATTTTGCTGCATATAAACAAAACACTTTAGACGAGGTTTCTAGTAGTTTTATCAAAGATTTGATAAGGCATGATATTAACAAAGTTGCGTTGAAAAATGTTGGTGGAAAATACAAATATCAAGAAACTTTTATTACGGACAATGAAATTGAAGATATTGAAACTTCTCTACAAAATTTATTGATTATTTATCAATACTTTATTAATATGAATATTTTATTGCCATTATCAGAAGAAACATTTCAACAGTTAGGTTTAGAATTAAAACGTCGTTTTGAAGAAAATACAATAGATTATAGTGAAAGCAAAACTAGTGATTTTTCTACTTCAACAGAAAACAAACCATCACTCGACAATTTATTTGTTTATTTCCCATCCAAAACACTTTCTGATAATGTGCTTATGGAACACAAAAAACTGAAGCTCTCTTTATTCACAGGACTATTTGCATCAGATTATGATCCAATTTTGAACACAACTACAGAAAAATATTTATTATCTAACTCTAATCTTGATTTTAACAAAAATGAAAATCAAGAAAAATGGAAAGATATAAAAAAAGAAAGCTCACTTGATTTATTTCCAGATTTAGATTTTGTTAAAATGGTGAGAAAAGATAAAATGACTTTGTTGTTTGCAGATGGAAGAGATGAAGATGAAGATGATTAATAGTATATAAATATATATATTATATATTAATTCAACAAAAGTATTAGGGAAAAGATAAAAAAAAAAACATTAATAATTCAATTAATTAAAGCAAAAACGCATTTGAAAAACAATATACTTTATAAACAAAACAAAAACCTTTTTGCTATATTAAATTTTGCTAGGAAGTTTAGTTTTCCTGGTTCAATTTGATTAAAAAAAAAAGATAATTTGAACTTGTATTTTCAAAGAATAAAAGTTCGAGATGCAGAGATGGCCGAGAGGTTAAGGCGTTGGATTTAGGTTAATTTGTCATGAATATCAAAATTTTCATGTATTGATTTAAATACTCCAATTTCGAAAGAAGCATGGGTTCGAACCCCATTCCCTGCAATTATCTATTTTTTTGCAAATTTTATTATTTAAAAATTAGAATGTTTTTTTTTTTTCATTTTCTCCACCCCTCTGTATTAAATGGGAAATGATGTTTGTGAGGATTTATAGTTAGTTACGTTTTAAGATTGAGAGTTCATATTTGAAAGTAGATTTTTTTCTTATTTTAATAATATCTTTACTATAGATAATCTTGTGATTACTTTTTTATACTAAATTAGTTGGTTTATTATTTTATACTATCATATAATTATGAACTTATAAAGTTGTTCCTTTCGAATATGAATTTAAATCTATAAAGATTTATTTCATATATATATATATATCAATTAGATATGGTGTATATTTCAGAGAGAATTGATATTTTTAGTTTAAGAGAAAGTAAAAAAAATTTTTTTTTTTTTCCTTCAATATACATTCCCCCCCCCAAATATACATTTGAATGTGGTTTTATTATTGTAATGTTTTTTTCGAATATATATAACACACCAAACACTAAACAAATCAAAACATCTATACTACTCAACACTTTATACACACACATAAACTTATATATATATATATACATAAAATTGTTTATTTGAATAATGGATGTGTCAGGTATTTTTTACAAGTGCTTGTTTTCAGTAATGATGAGTATAAAAACAAAAAAATAGACCAATCACCACAAAAATCAAATTCTCTTGATGGAGACAATGATGGACTTCCTGATCCTAGTGAAATGAATAAGGAAATAAAAGAATTATTAACAAAAATATGAAGGTGACAACAAGAAAAAAGAGTTATTAACAGG